GCTGCTCGGCCGGCAGCTCCCCGGATTCAGCCACTTGTGAAACTGACCAGCTGCGGCTGACTTGGGAACGCCTGGGACAGAGCCGGACTATCAGAAGGGGGGGCTATAAGGGGTGTGGTGTGGCATCCCTCCACCCCACCCCAGACCCCTCATACCACCCCCCCTCTGATAGTCCGGCATATTTGATAATCTGGCACCCCCTGGGTCCTAAAGGTGCCGGATTATCGGAAGTTTACTGTACTTAGAACTCAGGAAGAGCTCTGAAGCAGTTTTTCAAAATGCTGGTTAAATTTAAACAATTCTTTTAGTTTCTCCCTCACACATTTGTTTGTTTTGAAGCTTCATTCTAAAGCATGTGGGTCTGTCAGACCTGCAGTTGTTAAATTGTACCCTTGGACCACAAAAAGTACAGCTGTATTTCAAAACCCTCAACACACACAGACTCAATCCAGGCTGTTCTTTGCTGAGATGTGAATTCTCAATACAAGGTCATTGACCAGGTTATCTATTTCTGTCTATACTTAACCCATACAGATACCAATTCCAAGTTTTTCCAGCAATAATCTCCCTCCCACCTCCTCCAGCAACTGTGACACTTTCTGATTTAAACAGAATTTCCCATCAATGTCTTTAAAACAAAAAATGGCACAAATTTGGAGAAGTCTATTCTTCACTATCACTGCCTAATTAACTAAGATGTAGCTACTCCCCAAGTCTTCTTTTTAATTATGCTTCACTGGAATGAGACAGACTCACAATTGAAGGTGTATACAATGCCAGATGTGCTGCAATAAACTGCACACTGAAGTCCAGCTATTTGCAATAACACATTGTTCAGAAATTTGTCATTCCTCTGCACTGTGTATTCCGATGTTGTCTTTTCAAATCCTCAAATCTCCACCCCTTTAATTAGATTGTTGTAGTGGAATCCCCAGGAAATTGTTAGCATCATCAAGCTTTGCTGATCCAATTACACTTGCAAACTAATAGGGTTTCTATATACACACATGCACACACAATTATAATCAAATACCAGTCTGAGGAAGATGAATAGTTTCTCCTGGGGTTCCCACTACACATCATCTGAAATATCATAGCTTTAGTAATTCAAGTAATTGGCAAATGACACTGTGAACACTTGTGGGGTTTTTCCAGTCTTTATGAACAGTAATACATTTATTCTTTCAGTCCTGAATACATTGCATACATTGTGATTGCACTGCATTGCATACAATTTGATGTGCAAGACATATTTACAGTAATGCACTGTGGTATCTAGATTGGACTCTAACAGAGGCTGCACGTTCAGAAGCTGAAATTATTTCAGGATGTGGCATCCCTGAAATCTACTAGGAGTATGTGACCCTGACGTTCCATGGACTTTATTGGCCAATGAATTCCAGATAAAGTTTAAAAGATGTTTACATCAAGTCAAAAATGGTTCCAACCCTGTCTATCCAAAACCACTTTTTCTCTTACATTAGAGCAGTAGCTGCAGAAGAGGACAGAACTCTGAATACGCCTTCCTATCTTAATCTACCAAAACTTAGGTTTGATTACTTTCTGGGCCAGACAGATCTGTTCTCTAAGTCATTTTTCTTGGATGGGTGGGAAAGAAGAACTGGCCAGGTGGGCTGAGATTGGGAGATTGCCATGAAGGCTCCTAAGACACCTTCAAAAGAACATGGTAGAAATAGTCTGCACCTCAGAAATTTCTCTAGGAATTCTGTTTCAAGATTTGCTTGAGACGTATTTATTGCATAGTGTTAACATTTGTGATTAAAAAAATATCAACTGGTCTTTGAGAGTGAGATAGATGCAATAAAAGCTTAAACAAATAAAAAAGTATGACAGTTTCTTATGGCAATAGCCAAAGGTAGATATAAGCATTCTGAGACAGCACGATGATGTCAATAATTCACAAACTTATTTAGTTTTCCATCTTTTTCATATCACCACCAGTGTTTCTTTGAACTACTAAGCTTGGACATGTTTGTGGAAGCTCTAAAAATGTCATGCAAAACAGTTGTAATGCAGCTGGTAATGTGGAAGTTTTTCCCTCTTCAAAACCTATATTTTTCTGTGTACTTTACCACAAATCAAAAAAGCAAAAGACCACATTAGTATCAAAAGGAAATAATCACAAGCATTTTACACTCATGGGGGAAAGAATATCTCATTCTCATAAAAATATATTCTCCCAGGAGCTTTTTGTAGAGTTAGTCAAATTTTTATTTAAAAGATGTGCTGGAAGTAGCATAAATTAAATTGGACACAAAGACTCGACTAAACTTGTAAAAACTGGGATTGCTAAGGAGCTAAAATGGCAGGAGGAGGTCTGGAAAGAAAATGCTAATTAAATAAAAAATCCCAAGACATTGACCATACAAATTATCAGTAGTGGAAGCCTATAAAGTATAAAAAGCAAAGCATATCTATTAAGAGTATGAAAATCTCTCATAGTTCCACTTTTCTGCACACTCTATTTATACCTGTGCCATTCAATTTATAAGCATGCAAGTGCGCTTTGAAAATCTAGTCCTCAAAGGTTCATTTTAAGCACTGGAGTGATAAAAAAAGAGCTAAAACAGAAGCCAATAAAATGTAGGAAATATGGATGAAAAACTGTGGGAAGACAGTGATACACAGAATCCAATAACATAACAATGGATCACTTGACGACTACCTGTTCTGTTCATTCCCTCTGAAACACTTGGCACTGGCCAGTCAGGAGACAGGAAACTGGGCTAGATGAAGCTTTGGTCTGACCCAGCATAGCTGATCTATATGTTCTTATGTAAAATCCAGTTAGTCCCATTCATACACATTTGGGCCAGGAAAAGAATAATGTCTGAAATGCCAAATTCTGGACCATGGAGTCAATCATATGCATTTTCTCTCAATTCATATATAGACTCTTCAT